AAAAAAGGGCCTGAACCAGGCCTCAAAAATATAGGGAGGCATGCTTCTTTGAAATGCCAAAAATGCAAGCAAACAAAAATAAAAAGAGAGGGGGTCACCCTCTCTGATTTGAGGCCTTAAAACCACATGCCTACCACTGAAAATCCACTGAATTTCAGTGGTTAGAAGGCCAAACCAAGGCTAGCTCAGAGGCCTTAAGGCATGGCTCAAAACAAGGCCAAACAAGGCAAACAAGAGGGTTGAAGACCCTTAACAGCAAAAAGACCTTAAACAACCACCAAAAGCACTTAAATAAAAGACTTTTTCAGTTGAAAGCAAGGCCTAAAACAATATGCAAGGATGGCCAAAATAAGGTACAAAAAAGTGCTAAAAAAGGGAAGAAACTCACCCTTGAAGATCAACTTTGAAACCGGCAACTTCAGGAGGTAAAACCTCAGTTTCAGAGCTCAAGAAGTCCTCCTAAGAACCTCAACCCAAAGATGGTGGTGTATCTCTAAGTGTTGTAGTGTAAAAGTGCAATATGGAGGGCAAATAAAAGGATTTCAGCTGGCTCAAAAGATCTGGAGTGAAACCTGTTGAGACAGGGGTGCTGCCGGCCATCAGGGATGGCCAGCAGTGGCTCATTGATGGTCGACAGGCTCAATCAATGGCCGGCAGCAACAAAGTGAAGGCCGGCAGGGCCAAAAGGTGGCCGGCAGTGCACCAAGAAACACATTCTGAAAGGACCAAGTCATGGTCCAAGAATGGGGCAAAAAGAATACAGGGTTTGGAAAGCTCGAACCTGTGACGTTCCGCCGCAAAAGTCGAATACCCGACGAGCAATCGAACTTGTGTCCGGATGTACCTGCAAGTACAACCAAGTCTTGAGGACGGTCAAAAATAGGGTGTCTACAAATGGTCTCTTCACAAAAGATTTATAAATTTATGAAAAAAATTATAATTTTAATAATTAAGATTGATAAAAATTACCTTTATTTATAATTTTATTTTATTTTATAAATATGAGATTTGAGGTTTCATTTCCCTTTCAAATCATATCAAATTCAAATCCCATTTCAAGCACATTCCTTTTTTTTTTTCTTTCTCAAAGAAACATATTCCATTTTAAAAAATACCAATTTCATCAAATTCTTTCATTCCAAACAGGAATGTTAAGATTTTTCAATGCAATTTTCCAATCACAATAAGAAAACAAAAAGGCAAACTACATGTAATGATAGAAAGGAAAAAAAATTTCAAACACATAAGCGGGTGAAAATGACACTTATATTTTTACAATCTTTCATTTATATCTCATTATAAATATATTTATACCTTTATATATTGTAGTGTTTTAAAAATATTGTAAAAAATTAATTTTTTTAACTTTTTAGTGACTTTTTTGGCTAAAAAAGTTGACTTTTTTGTTTTTTGTTTTTTTTTTTTTTTGTAAAAAAGCTAAAAAGTCAAAAAAAAATGGCTTTGTACTGAAGAATAATGTTATATGTAACAATTAATGTACTAACTAGTGTACCAATTGATGATGTGACATAATTTAAGAGGTTTTTGGTATTTATAATGTAATTAATGAGTAGGATCAATAATAATGTTATAACTAGTATTGATACACTAGTTAATATATTAATTAAGAATAATGCTAGAGACCCTAAAAATTCTATCAAAAGTTTTATTAGATGTCTCACATGCGGGACCCACACAATATGGGTCCCATGTTCCCACACCCACACCCATGTAAGACATTTGATAGAACTTTTGATAAAATTTTTGAAATCTCTAACATTTTTTATTAATTAATGTATGTAAAGTTCTCAAATTTAATTTTTTCTCCAACTCACTAGGCATATAATGTTTGTTAGTCAAAATGGCTAATGTGACTCACTTTTTTCAACTCCAATGCACTAGATATATGATTAGGCATTTTGCCTCAGCTCACATTCACTAGCTACATGTAGCTAGTCTTCAACGCTAGGCAAAATGTATTTAATCATTAGGATTATTTCCCTCCATCTTTGTTGCTGGCATGGCATTCTATAAATTTAATAGCATTTGGATAAATAGTTAAAACAAAGAGCATGGTTGAAGTAGAAACATGAAACAGTTGATAGGTAAAATAAATGGAGGTTTTTTGATAAATCCTTTTTCTAAGAGCTTTATTCCATCCAACCCATATTGTTTTTGACTATTCCATTAGTTCATATTTGAGGTAAGAAGACCAAAATACCTTTTTCATTTACTTATGTTCCATTTAGTCCACATTATTTTCTTATATTTCAATAAGCCCATTGGGTGACATAATTACCAAAATACCCCTAATGTGAATGTTCACATCGTCGATGTGAATGTTCACACCGTCAATGTGAATGTTCCTATTTCAGGTAAGAAGACCAAAATACCTTTTTCATCTACTTATGTTCCATTTCGTCTACATTATTTTCTTATGTTTCAATAAGTCCTATGGGTGACGTAATTACCAAAATATCCCTAATGTGAATGTTCACATCCTATGAGTGACATAATTACCAAAATACCCCTAATGTGAATGTTCACACTGTCAATGTAAATGTTCACACCGTCAATGTGAATGTTCCTATTTGAGGTAAGAAGACCAAAATACCCTTTTCATCTACTTATGTTCTATTTAGTCCACATTATTTTCTTATGTTTTAATAAGTCCTATGGGTGACATAATTACTAAAATACCCCTAATGTGAATGTTCATACCATCAATGTGTAGGGGTTCGGCCCATCCCGGGTTGGGGCCAACCTATGTAAAGCCTCGTGGGTGCTTGCCAAAATTCGGGTCGGGCCGGACTGGCCCACGGGCCAAAAAATTAGGCCTAGACCCTAGCCTTAGCACAAAAGTATTCAGGCTTTGGGTGCCTCGATGGGTCGAGCCAAGGGGCTTGGGCCTAGACTTGGGCTTGGGTGAGCCTTGCCATTTTTTTTAATTATTTTTAATTTTTTCTCCTAAAATTTTATTATTTTCCACAAAAAATACACCGAGCCTCTGGCGGACTGGGCCTCGGGCCGAGCCTTAAATGGGCCTTATGCCGGCCGAGCTTCAAAGTAATGGCCCAGGTCCTAGCCCAAGTTCTCGGGCTGGGCTAAGGCCCGGGCCCAAATGAGCTTGCCTTGGGCCGCGGGAGGGCTTCGGGTGGCCTACGGCCGCAAGCCAATTTTACACTCCTATTAATGTGAATATTAACATGTCAATGTGAATATTCACATTGTCAACAGGTCGAACCCACTCCGGGCCGCGGGCCAATTTTACGCTCCTATCAATGTTAATATTAACATGTCAATGTGAATATTCACATTGTAAACGGACTGGCCCGAGTCAGGCCCGCGGGCAGGTTTCGAGCCGCCTACGGGCCGCGGGTCAATTTTACACTCCTATCAACGTGAATGTTAATATGTTAATGTGAATATTCACATTATTAACGGGCCGGGTCAGGCTTGCCCCAGGCAGCTCACGGGCCGCGGGTGGGTTTCGGGCTGCCCACGGGCCGCAGGCCAATTTTATACTTCTATCAATGTGAATGTTACACATGTCAATGTGAATATTCACATTGTCAACGGACCGGGCCCGCCTCGGCCCAGGGAGAGCTTCGGACCGCCCACGAGCCACGGGCCAATTTTACATTCTTACCAATGTGAATGCTAAAATATGAATATTTACAGCCCGCCCCGCTCCGAGCAACGGGCGGGCTTTAAGGCGCCCACGGGCCGCGGGCCAATTTTACACTTCTATCAATGTAAATGTTAACATGTCAATATGAATATTCACATTGTAAACGGGCCAGGCTGGGCCCGCGGTCGGGTTTCGGGCCGTGAGCCAATTTTACACTCCTATCAATGTGAATGTTAACATGTCAATGTAAATATTCATATTGTAAACGGGCCGGGTTGGGCCCGCTGGCGGGTTTCGGGCTACGGGTCAATTTTATACTCCTATCAACGTGAATGTTAATATGAATATTCACATTGTCAACGGGTCGAGCCAGGGCGGGCCCGCCCCCAGGTTGCGGGCGGGTTTTGGGTCGCCCACGGGCCGCGGGCCAATTTTACACTTCTATCAATGTGAATGTTAACATGTCAATGTGAATATTCACATTGTCAATGGACCGGGCCCGCCCCGGTTCGAGGACGAGCTTCGGACCGCCCACGGGCCACGAGCCTATTTTACATTCTTACCAATGTGAATGTTAAAATATGAATATTTACAGCTCGCCCCGCCTCGGGCAACAAGCAGGCTTCGGGCCGCCTACGAGCCGCGGGCCAATTTTACATTCCTATTAATGTGAATGTTAACATATCAATGTGAAAATTTACATTGTAAACGGGTCGGGCCGGGCCCGCGGGCGGGTTTCGGGCCTCCTACGCGCCGCGGGTCAATTTTACACTCCTATCAACGTGAATGTTAATATGTTAATGTGAATATTCACATTGTCAACGGGCAGGGCACGCCCCGGGCAGCCCACGGGCCGCGGGCCAATTTTACACTTCTATCAATGTGAATGTTAACATGTCAATGTGAATATTCGCATTGTCAACGGACCGGGCTCGCCCCGGCCCGGGGGCGATATTCGGACCACCCACAGACCAATTTTACATTCTTACCAATGTGAATGTTAAAATATGAATATTTACATCATAAAATTGCTAACCGTTCAAAAAATATTTGTAAGGGTATCAAAATTAAATATAAGGGCATAAGAATCTAAAAAAAGAGTGTAAATCAAGAAAAAAGATTTTATAAAATAAAACTATACATACATGAGACTAAATGGATTAATAAATTTCTTTATGGGCTTTTTGGATTAAAACACTTCTAAATGAGATTTATCAATAAAAATTCATAAAATAAAATATATACTTCACAGTAATATTTAAATAGATAAAATACCTACTATCATTAGAGATGCTCTTACCATGTACTTGGTAATTTTTTTTTAAAAAAAATGCATAAATAAAAAAAGCCGTATGTATTCCCAGCCGAGGCTTCGAAGCAATGGAGCTTCGTAAGCTGACGCAATATATGCATATATGAGTATAATATATATTCCCCAAATGAATCAAACATTTTCACAATCACTGAAACTTCCATCGATTCTTTGGTTCTTCCATCATCGACGATAACTTTAATGCCCCACTGGTCAGTACTCTCTCTCTCTCTCTACACTACCCAACAAACACAATTTTCTATATACAATTATCTATATATATATATATATATATATCTTCTTCTTTATTTATTTATTTTTTGAAATTATATCTTTCATTGTTGATATCATTGGACTCGGATTGCGTCAATTCAGTTCTTGGAGAATTCTGGGTTGGTTTTAGTTTCTCTTAAGCTGTGTTTGATCGTTGGTTTTGTGATAGTCAACGTTCTGATTTTAGGGTTTTGATTGTTGGTCATAGCTGATGATGATTTGATAATTGTTCTCTTTACTGGTCAATCTGCGTTGTCGTCACGGCTTCGAGCTTCTGATTTGCATTGCTCCGTAATTGTCTTTTGTAGAATTATATTTTATATATTTATACGTTCAAGTCTCTCTAGAAATGAGGTAAAGATTGCCTACTTGTTGCTCTGTGCATTGGGTCTCCCATTTTTTTTTATAATGTTCTAATTTGTGTGTGTTTATGGGTAGTGATAATTTGAGTTTGTGTTACTCAAAATTTTACTTGATTTGATTTGATATGCACCACTTCAATTCAATGGACAAACTCAGATTTAAGCATGTTGTTTAGTAAAAGGTTCATTAATGGCAGAGTGCTAAACATGAGAGCCACAAAATAGGCTTGAAAATTTTGAGTAAATATTTGAGTCTCCCTTGATTTGAGTAAAACTCAATTTGATGTAAGTTTTGAGTCATGGAGTAGAGAGGTTTTTGAGTGGTTTTTTATCAAAATTTAATCTAATATAGGTTTAAGTGAAAGTTTGGAGATGCCCTTAGACATTTCGATCAATATGATAATTGGTGCTCCATGTGTATATCTATATCTTTCTTTTTCCTTTTATATTTGTGTAGTGTTTGTTTTTATCAATTTCACTTGTAGTCTGGTTATGGAAATGCCAGTTTTAAGGGGTTAATTATTGAAAACTAGTTACTACTTAATATTGCTGTATCTGTTGGAACTTATTGTCTCTAGTATTTCCTTCATGCTCTGTTTGGTTGTTGAGAAGAAGTGTGTAAAAAGGAATTGAATGTTTGAAACTCGGGTTATTGTTTTTCACGTTTCAAGTTGGTGGAAACGTGCTTTTAGTTTCTACCATGACTCTCTTTTTTTCTTGTAATTGTTATGAGTAAAGGAACCAAAACAATAATATGGTTCTATAATTCAATTTTATGTTCTTCAGTTTTCATGGGAAAAAAGAGAGGAGGGGTTATGCCCATAGGGAGGGCAAAGGAAAACAGTCATGATTTTGATATTTTTACATTTTGGTTATTGAACAGAATGCGAACTGGCTATTTATCCACATCTCGTGGTTTAAAATATTTGAGTTGGACAGTGCAATTAGGTAGGTGCTGCATAAGACAAGTGCTTGATTGTTTGCTTACAGTGGAGAAGTGGGTGTGAAGGTGGATTGCTCATCATCCATCCCATGTGTCATTTACTTCCTATTTTGTTAATGGACTCAGATGGGCATTTTCTTACTGGAATTCCTTTGTAAAAGTGAGACCTGGAAATCGCCATTGTTAATGGAGCGAGTAGAAAACCTTAACGATCGTGAACATATAATTGACATAAGAAGCAACAATGAGGCTTCCTCATCTGGTTTATCCCTTGACACAAATGGCTTGGACACACTGCAGCGTGAAGACTGGATTTCTACAACTGCAAGGACCCCTGTTTTTCAACCTTCACTTTCTTCTGCCAATGGATTGAACGCAAGGAACACGCCAGTCATCAGGAGAGGGGATGGGCATGGTCGTCGCCGCAGTCGTCCATTAAATTCAGGGTTATGGATATCTATTGAACTAGTTCTAACAGTGAGCCAGATTGTTGCAGCTATTATAGTTTTGTCCTTGTCAAGAAATGAGCATTCTCGTGCTCCTTTGTTTGAGTGGATTGTGGGTTATGCATCCGGATGTGTTGCAACACTTCCTCTTCTTTATTGGCGCTGGCATTATCGCAACCAGGCTTCTGAACCAGATTCATCTCAGCCCCGTCAGAGTTCTACTCAGAGCAACCCTCCTGCCTCTTTCTCCACCTTTTCAATTCCGAGAACTTCAGAAGGGGAAGGCCGGCTCACAGGTACAGCCTCTAGAGGCACTCAAAGCGTGAGAATACCAAATCCAAGGTATGGATTATTGCTGTAAACTAGGATTTGTTTGTCCTTGGACATGCCATGATTTGTCTTTGAACCGTCTGATTTGTTTGTATTTCTATTGCCATTTCAAACCCGTTTGTTTAGCTGATCAAGTTAACTTTCCTGCTCAACAAGTGAAATTCTCTGTATGTGTGACAGCTATTGCACTTGTGTTGGCTATAACTAGTGATAGGTGCTTCATGGCTGCATTTTTGTTTTGAGTGTAGTTACATGGGCCCACTTGCCTATGTGGTGAGCCTCATCTCCTTATAAACTCCTTCACCAACCTTGGTTCCATGTGTTAGGCTCGTGAGGTGTCATATGGTCTGATGGGAACTCTCCACAATCAACTCTCCCTCCAGGATAAAGCTCTAATGGTCAAATCTAATGTATTTGGTGCCTTAATCTCAAGTCAACGTTTTTAGAAGGCAATCTCCGAGGAGCCACTTAGGCGTGCTTAATCTTTTGTCCCTCACTCAAGCTAAGTCTATTTGAGTGCACCCATCTTCACTCACGCCAGTATACTTGGACCTCCCCTAGTCTAGCCGAGTGGATTTTCCACTTGAGCATGCTTGTGTTGGACATTGACATGTTGGACATTTCCGATATGCATTGGACACACGTGTATTATTTTCAGTTGTCATGCAATGATCCTTTAAAAGTCATGTTGAAATCTTGACTACTAGCAAAGAATTGAACTAAATACATGATTTTACCTTGGTTCATGATATGAGCAAATCTCAAGAACTACCTATGAAAGTTTAACATTTTGTCTCCTACAGGCTCTATAGGGAAAAAATGGGTTGGATTTTAAAAGATGTTACCTTCTAAATAGAGTGCCCAATTGCTAACTATGACAAATGGACATAAAAGGAACTGGAGCTGGATTGGACCCAAGATATATGAAACTGGAAAAGTGGAGTACAATCAGTTGCTGACCAAGGGTAGGGTGAAGGAGGGCCATGGGCCCCCCCTGGGTTTGAGATTCCTCCTTGAATGGCCGCAGTTTGGAAGAGGCTTCTTTTATATAAACAATGCCCTCCCACCTTCCAAACAAAAAAAAAATTTGGCTTTGCCTCTGGGTATCATCAAAAAAAGGCCAATCCATTACTTCTCTACATTTAAACACATGCATAATGGCATGTTTATTGACCAATTTCAATCACACCCATTGCTTGAAGTTGGTCTTGAGTTTGAGTAATCTTCTAAAAGGTCGTTTTGATTAGGAATGAACATTGAAAGATTCTTCCCAACTTGAACATAACAAAACTGCCTATGGTTTGTTGTAAAGTAGAATTCAAAGATCTTACACAAAAAGATCCCTTTAGCACAAGCAAGTTTCCACCTCCTCCAGACTTTATCAGGCCTCTCATATCTGAATTTTTTTTTTAAGATTAGATGTCGAGATGCCAAAAGTTGGGCTATAATTGAATTTTACGAACAACCAAAGTTCTTTATCCATGTTCACTAGGATATCAAGGAAATTTACCTTTTCTATGCTCATCACTTCACCACCTGTCTGTCCAACATTTAATAATATGGTCCTTCCGTACTTGAAACCTATTCCAACCCAGATAATTCTGCTGATATAATTCCATTCTTAACACCGAACTCGTAGGAGAAAAGACTTAGCTTATGTTCCCACTATTTTTTTGCATAACTGATATAATTTATTATGTAACAATAAATAGCTTGCCCATCTCACTTTGCTTCAATTATTATAGAATCACGTTATTAATTATACTTTAGGCTTATCATTTGAAATTGAAATTAGGATTAGGCTATTTTCAAACTTAAGTTGATAAGTTTCTAAACGTGTTTACTTTGAGTTAAAGATGATAAAAGGTAAAGCGGGGCTCCCTTTGGGCATGCAGTTTGCTCTCACAGTTTTTCATTTGCTTCATGGTTTTTAACACATGCAAAAAATGTGAAACAACTAGAGCTATCTTTTGGTGCTTTTTGTTTTTTTGGGGGGTAAGGGTCAGAAGGGGAAGGCCGGCTCACAGGTACAGCCTCTAGAGGCATCCCTCAATAAGAGAAATTCATTCCAAAAGGTATAAGTGCGAGGATCAGCAGGACATCCGTAATCTGTGTAATTTCACTATATCTATAGTGAGCTGAGATATCAAGTTTATCAGCGTACTCTACCACGGTCCTAGTAACTCGAGAAATGTCTTTAATAGAATCAGAACAAACTCAAAGAATTCTCTGGCCTTTACAGTAGGATGAAGTAATTCAACATATTTGCAGCTAACTTATTAGCTGGAAAACTAAGCAGAGGTCTTCAAAGAATCGAAGACATAAGTACTAATACTTTGCCTGTATAGCTCATCAGTTGATTGAGCAGGAACCACCGCTTCCTTAGCATTAAAGGCAGCTATACAAGTGCTAGGAATTTACTGCTTGCCTGCTAACCATTGTTGAAGAAATTTCTTTTCTGGACACATTTTAAATTCCTGGAGCACTGTGTTGACAAGAATGTGCATAGTTATAAGAGTGGTAGAAAAACTGTGGTTCTTGGATTTGGCATTCTTGGCTGCTTGCTTTCTTTGGCAATAACTTGAGATGGAGGAAAAAAACATTGTCGGATGTTAACTTGTTCCCGCCTTTTGACAATGCTGCTTACTTTCTTGCTGTTCTAGTGGCATGCTTCTGTTGTCAATTATTTGGTGGCTTGTGACTTTTGGATCCAAGGTTCCTAATTTTTCATCTTTTTATGCTTTTGAAATTTTGATTGTTAAGAAGCTGGATACATTCTGTTTATGTAATTTATAAGTGCATTGTAATTGCAAGTGCCGGTACAGAAAGTACACATAAATGTTCTGGTTTCTACCTTGCAGGCTCAAGGCACTTGTGGAATACTTCAAGATGACTTTAGATTGCTTCTTCGCTGTGTGGTTTGTGGTTGGCAATGTTTGGATTTTTGGTGGGCACTCTTCTTCCGCTGAGGCTCCCAACTTGTACAGGTATATCACCAAGTCGTGCTACAGCATATTTTGTTTTCTGTTTCTCCATTCTCTTTTCCATTATTCCTTTTTATGGGTTCTCAACCTATTTATGCATTTTTGTCAATTTTCAGGTTGTGTATAGTGTTTCTCATCTTTAGCTGTATTGGGTATGCAATGCCATTTATTCTGTGTGCTACAATCTGCTGCTGCCTCCCTTGTATAATTTCTGTATTGGGCTTCAGAGAAGATCTGAATCAAAATAGAGGGGCCACACCAGAATCAATAAATTCTCTGCCAACCTACAAGTTTAAGATAAAGAAAACCAGAAATGGCAATGGTAGAGAAATCAGCTCAGGTGCTGGTGAAGGCGGGGTTGTTGCTGCAGGAACAGAAAAGGAGCGTGTGATATCAGGAGAAGATGCGGTAAATTGATTTCTTATCCACTTTAAGCTTCTGTGGTTTGTTTATCACTCTTTAATATTGTATCACTGATTCACTCGCTTTATGAAGGACCACTGCCCTACGTTTTACCAAAGTACATGACGTTGTCTTCGTCAATCACATAGTAGGTTATTTGCTTCTTGGTGAAATTTAAACATTGCCCTTTGTGCTTGCCATACAGCTTATTGGGATTGTTTTATCTTTAGAAATTGGGAAGGTTCATACCTGGTTGTTGATATGATACATTATGCTTTAGAAGGCGTGTTATGTGAATAACTGACTGAAAATGGGTGGTCCTAACTATAGACTATATTACAAACCGACCAAGGACTTTTAAGATTTTAGATATGAATTTGGCTCCTGGTTAAACCAATACAAGATACTGACTTGAGAGGTGTTTACAAATTATTGGGAATATTGCAGAAGGTTCATTTTTGCTGGTATATTTTCACGAGAGAAACCTCTGAATCTGTTGGAGTATGATAAACTTTTCAAGTTGTTACTGTGATTTTCCGTAATGGCCTGTGGCATCTGTTGTTTCTTTTTCTTTTTCTTTTTTCATCATTTATATTAAGCTTTTGAATTCGACAAATGCCTTATATATAGAATTTGAAAATTACTTGGCATCACATTTTGCAAATGTTATGAATGATGGCCTTATTATTATTATTGTGGTAAAACTGACCTTGATTGGTCTGTCGAGTCATAAACTTTGATCAGTTGATACCCCAAATGGATATATTTCCAAATGACTGTTATTTTCAGGTCTGCTGCATTTGCTTGGCGAAGTATGCACACAATGACGAGCTTAGGGAGTTGCCATGTACTCATTTCTTTCACAAGGAGTGTGTCGACAAGTGGCTGAAGATCAATGCGTTGTGTCCCCTATGTAAGGGTGAGGTGGGTGAGAGCATTTTGAGTTCACTTTCCGGAGCAGCTTCTCTGCATCAGGGTGGAAGTAGAGCAGGTAATGACTTAGCCACTGATGTGTTTTGAATTGGTGAAATATAACAACCCTTCCGACCATGTCTATATGAAACTGTTGCTTCAAATTTGGGATTTACATTTTGCGTAAGACCAATCATTACCCAAAAGTAGTTAGCTTGGTGATGCAATATTGTGACCGATTTCTTTGTAAGCCTCTGTAATAGTGAGAGATTGTTCAATGATAAAAGGCCAATGTGTACCTCTCTTAAGTTGGCAAGAAAAGAAAAATTATTACTTATGAATAATGTTGTAAGGATATAAATACAGACAAAGTTTGAGCATTAGGTTTCATATTAGGTATACCACTGTTTTATGCGACATTAGTAGAAGTTTATTAGAAAGGAGTAATGCTTCTTGCAGATTGTAATTTGAAACCCTATATTTCCAACTGAATTTTTATTCTTCATAATTCGATGTCGGTGTCTTCCGAGGATTTGAACAACTCTTTCTGTCTCTCTCTCTCTCTCTTGGTGGATCTCAAAAGTGATTGTGTAAAAACATGGGAAATTAGTTTGTTCCTTAATTCCCCACAAAAAGCCTAATAATGCTCCTTAAAATGGGAAATTATTTGGTGGTTTGTCGTCACGTCATCTTTGGTCTCGGCTACTCATGTTGAGCCGACTAAGATAAAATGAGACATTGGTTCCACTCGAATTGAAATATGTATTAATTAGCAAAGACTAGGTATTTTGAGTTGTATGATTATTCTATGGAAATGTGTATTAGCACGTGTATTTTGAGTTGAATTTTATTCACTCACGTTAAGAGATGCCCACATCGCCTATTGGTTTTTATTTTTCTATGTAGATCCACTAATTTAAGAGGGGTTCATTGTTTTGGCACAGTCAATGTGGTGGATTATGTCTCACTCACTTCAAAGATGAGTAAACATCATTTTCAGTTATTTGTACGACATTTATCAGGGAAAAGCAGACATACCAATGGGCATATCAAAACTGATCTTTGGAGAAGCTGTTGGATTTGGCAATAGGAACTATTCATTTTATTGGAATGTATGTGTAGTTCATTTATATAAAAAAAAATAAAAATAAAAATTATATATTTTTTTTGTTATAACTTGTCAAGATCTATATTGAATATGAAATTAAATTAAAAAAATTGTTAGTTTTTTAAGTTTATTTAGAAATTTCACGATTTTAAAAAAAAAAAAATTGTCAAATTTCTCTCTTTCTCCCTTTTTCAAATTGAAAAATGGGAATTTTGTGATAGATCCTTCACTATCTAATTTGCCTTTTAAAATGATAAGAATTTATGTGAGTGAATTTTTTACTACACTGCCAACTCAATATTAAACTAGAGAGCACTGGCAGAATAGATGGCACTTGAGTAACCTGCAACAGAAAGAAGAGATTCCGGCGGTGGTTCGTCTACCTGGGAGTACTCCGATGATCAAGTCAGTTATCTCTCAAAGATAGATCAAGTGCTAAAATCATTATTCAGAATATATCTTGCGTACCTTAGATCCATGGGGGTGCCTTTCTTTTATAGCCAACGCAATCCTAGTCCAAATAGAAGTCTAGCTTTAATGGACTTTTGCTCAGTGCTTAGCTTGGGCTCTCCAATATATAAAGATAAATTCCCTAAGAGCTTTATCCTTATCCAGGCCGAAGTCATTCCTCATTTTAGGACTCTTGTCCCTTATCCGCTTATCTCGGACTCTGATATCTTCGGAGATAACTTCGGCCTAGCCAAGATCACTTCAGCGTCACGACCAGGACACGTGGCACCTTGGCTGACACGTCGGCGTCACCTTGGCCACGTGTTGGTACTCAGAAAATATATCCCCACAACTGTCCCCTAGGTTCTATTACCTCGACATCCTGAGGTGATAGAACCTATATCGTCATATCGTTCAGAATGTCGGCTGTCTTGCTGTATCACCCATTTACCGAGGTCATAATACGTCGGCTTCACATGACCAAGTCCAGCCAAGGTCACTTGCTTTAAGTACTCCAAGAGTTTTATCACACGTATGAGTTGTCACACAAAATAAATCAACCGTTTCTGCCACACGTCTTCTTGCTACTGGATCGTACTCGATACGCGCCTGTAAGTCGTCTTGTGTCTGGGTGCGACGTCTGGTAAGCATGTCGCTCTAGACGCATTGATGACTTTTTGCCGCCATTCTCCGCATTTTGATCAAAATCAACTTTCTTTCTCCGTCTTTTCACTTTTGTATCCTTCGTTTTCAAGCTCCCAACTCTTTCTTTCTCTAACTTTTTCTCCCAAATCTGCCATTATCGTTTTTGCGAAGCTTTCTGCAATTACTTCTGTTCACTCCCCTCCGACGATGATTTTTGCTGCACTTTTCCGGTTGCTGCCACCGTCTAATCTCGGCGACTCTAATTTTCCCTTGTAAGTCACTGTTCCTTCGTTTTGATTTTTACTCTTCCTCAAATTGTTACATTTGTATACTGTAATTGCAATGTTTGTCTTTTTGAATCCAACCATGTATTCTGAGCATATTTTTCTCATGATTTTGCTTTTTGCCCAAACCGTTCTTTAATATACACGTAATACCCACATACTTATCCATTCTGCCACTGTTCTTGGCCTTGCACCCTGGCAAACACTCTGTCACAGTGTTCTTGATGATTTATCCCTATTTTTGATTCTGAATCATTGCTCTTGTTTCTGTTTGCCGTGTTTTTTCCAGATTCTTGCCTCCAATCTTCGTTTCTATAGATCTAGGTTTGTGATTTGTTTATAGAACCCACAAATTCTAAGAAGAACTTAAACGATCCCCACAAATTCTTACCCCAGCTCACATTTTAGGTTTTTGCCGAGGTCTCTATAACTCTTACAAAACACCTTCTTTCTGAAATCCAACTCCTCTAATTTAAGCTGACGTTATGGGTTTATGGAAGCATAGAGTAGACACCCCGATCAAGTTAGAACACTTTAGGCGGGAGTTTGACATCCCGACCGACGTTTATTTGAGGTTGGCTGGAGAGGATGACTCCATCATGCCTACAACTGATTCTATGCCCTTCCCCGTTGTAGCTTTTATCGAGTGCGGACTTAGGCTCCCACTCAACATCCTCTTCCGTGAGATAATCCATTACTATAAGTTGAACCCAATGCAGCTTGCCATCAATTCCTACCGAGTCATAAATGGTATAATAGCCTTAGCCAAACAAGAAAATGCTAGGGTTACCTTAGCCGACATCCAATATTGCAACACCATGTGTGGCCTTAAAAACGAGAAAGGCTATATTTACTACCTCAAGCCGAGGTCCACAGAATATAAAATCGTTGCTGACCTCCCAGACTCCAACAATGGTGCCGGGGATGATTACTTCATTATCTCGAGGAACTGGGAGTTCGCTCCAGATAAGGACCTTCACTTCTACCCTCTTCCTCGAACAGTTTTTGTAGACAGTAATGGTAAGAGCCCAGTGTTTATACTTACTTTGTCTTTAAAGTGTTCAATACTTCGTTTGTTCTAATGTCTGTTTTTCTTGCAACTCTTCCCCAACCAGAAAAAGGCTTCCGCAAGTCCTTTTTCCCCAGTAAGAGTTTGAAGAAGTTATTGGATTTGCCAGTCCACAAGCGTAGAGCCCCTTTGGTACTCAATTTCATCCCAACCTATAAATCGGTACTCCCTGACGTCCCAAATAGGAAGAAAAGCCAATCTTCTTCTTCTGCCACAACTCCTTCGACAGCGTCCTCATCTCGGCCAGATCAAGGATCAACTTTAGATCCAGCAGAGTAGTTATCCACCTCAGCTCCACAACTGATCCCACCATCTCAACGCCGACGACGTCGACAAACTGTTTTTGCTGCTGAGATAGGCCGTCAGAAAGCAATCGCTAAAGATCTCTTGGCCAACATTCCTGACTCAGTTGATGCTCAACCAGCACAAACCCAGCCTCAGCCAAAGCCAAAGCTAAAGCCAAAGCCAAAACGTCTGAAGAAGGCTCAGCCCAAGGCAACGGTGACTCAGATTGACACTGAGGACACCTTGCCAATTTCAAAATTAGCAGAGAGTGAGACGACCTCTTCTGCTTGCGAGAAAAGGCCTGCCGAGGCCCAACCATCCAAGTCCACCAAATCAAATAGGCTGAGGTCATCCTCTGCAACCACCTCGGGGTCTCTAAATCATGATTCCCCCTGGGCCCCGCCAATCACAATTAACAACAAGCCAGTTAAGGTTGGTGACAGTGCCAACGATATTGAGGTCGGCGTTGCACTTTCCACCGCCTTGCTTCTACCCGAAGATCTTAATCGTAACGCTCAGATGAGCGAATACGAAAATTTTGCTCTAATGCTGCAGCGTTCCATTCAAGTAAGTTCTTGATACTTGGTATTTTTCTTTCTTTCTCTTTTTTATATTTGGTGAATTTTCTAATAACTTCTGCTTTGTCCACTTTTCTTCAGGTGATCCAGCACGCCCACTCCTTCTCAATGCAATCTTTTGAGACAAGGAAGGCGTTGGCCGACAAGACTAAGGAGGTTGCTAGTCAGCAGAAGACCCTTAAAAAGACTGAGGCCAAGATGAAAACTTTATCCGACCAAGCTGCTTCGGCCGTTAAAGCTAAGGACGAGGTCGAGGAAAAGACAGATGCCGCTGAGGCCATCAACAAGGTTCTTGAGGCCATCTCGATCGTAATGTCGAGATGAGCGAGTATGAAAACTTCACTTTGATGCTGCAGCATTCTGTTCAAGTAAGTTCCTTACACTTGGTATCTTTCTTTCTCTATTCTTCCATACTTTTAGAACTTCTACTAACTTTTGTTTTGTTCATTTTCTTTCAGGCGATCCAGCATGCCCACTCCTTCTCAATGCAATCTTTTGAGACAAGGAAGGCGTTGGCCGACAAGACTAAGGGGGTTGCTAGTCAGCAGAAGACCCTTAAAAAGACTGAGGCCAAGATGAAAACTTTATCCAACCAAGCTGCTTCGGCCGTTAAAGCTAAGGACGAGATCGAGGAAAAGACGGATGCCGCTGAGGCCATCAACAAGGTTCTTGAGGCCCAGAAGAAAGAGGCCAAAGAAAAAATGGCCAAGGCCCAGAAAGAGCTGCAGGATGCATTGGCCACCAAAGAAGCCGAGCTTAAGGCTGCCAATGAGAAGGCATACAATGAGGGGGTGGCCGATGTCACGGCGGACTACGAGCGTCAGGTGAAGCAGGAATGCAACAAGGGTTTCACCCTTGGTTGGATGGCTCTCCTAAAAAAGCTTGAAGTCCCAGAGGACTCCTCGCTCAGGAACACCGACGTCCTCGTCCTGCCATTCCTTCCAACTCCAAGTCAATCTGACGACGATTCTGAGTCTGAGGAGGAAGCTTTGGTGAGGAAGTCAAAGGAAGCTGCTGGGGCCAAGTCCCCTACTTCAAATGAGCAAGTCTTGGACTTGACTCAAGATGAGGAAGGTGAGGAGGTTCCCCAAGATGCTACTCCTGAGAAGGCAACATTGGACGCGCCTATTGCTGATAAGAGCCTCGACGGAACCCTCCAAGAAATAGATGCCGAGCTCACGGCTGAAAAGACGACCGACATGTCTTCTCAGCAGTCTTCCAATCTTTCGATCTCCAGACCAAACCAGCCAGTGCCACCGAAGAGTTTTAGTTTGATGTCTTTCTCATTTTTTCAATTTCTTTGTACTTTTTCCTTTCTTTGAAACAATGTAAGCTCTCGTTATGGCCGATGTGCCTTCTTTTGAATGTAAATACAACTTCTTCTCTTTGAATGCTTTGTATGGCTCTCATACTTAGAATATTTCTACATATCTTTAATGTACACCTTAACTGTGTAATCTTTTTGGGGTCGAATTCCTCGGTTATATCTACCAACGGTTTACATCGACAAGTACTTTAAACGTTCAGTTCATTTTCAACTTGTAAAGTTTTCACAAATTTCAACAAGTGTCAAACATAACCTTAGTTTAACTTTCAACTTGTAAATTTTTCACAAATTTCAACAAGTGTTAAACATGATATCGGTTTAACTTCAACTTGTAAATTTTTTTCAAATTTCAACAAGTGTTAAACATGATCTTGGTTTAACTTCAACTTGTAAATTTTTTCTCAAATTTTAACAAGTGCTAAACATGATATCGGTTTAACTTCAACTTGTAAATTTTTCTCAAATTTCAACAAATGTTAAACATGATCTCGGTTTAACTTCAACTTGTAAATTTTTCTCAAATTTCAACAAGTGTTAAATAAATTTTTCTCAAATTTCAACAAGTGTTAAACATGATCTCGGTCTAACTTCAACTTGTAAATTTTTCTCAAATTTCAACAAGTGTTAAACATGATATCGGTTTAACTTCAACTTGTAAATTTTTCTCAAATTTCAACAAGTGTTAAACATGATCTCGGTCTAACTTCAACTTGTAAATTTTTTTCAAATTTCAACAAGTGTTAGATTGATTTTAGCTTGTATATTCTACCTTGCCAGGAACCATTTTCCAACTTTCTGCCCCCTAATGTGAACTTAAGTTCTACTTGGGTTCTCATTATGCATGTATTCTAAAAATATCATCAACTATCTTAACAGTCACAAGTGTAAAAAATCAAGCTGAAACTTTATTTATTTCTTCGGCTAATAACAAAGAACAAGAGAATCTAATGATAAAAAAATTTCAAGTATGCCAGGGCCTTGGCAACTCTTTGCCTACATTATCTTCAAGCCGATATACCCCATTGCCCAATACCGAGATGATTCTATAGGGTCCCTCCCAATTTAGGCCAAGCTGGCCCTCTCTAAGATCCTTCTTGTTGCCGACGACTTTTCTCAAGACGAGGTCACCGATTTGAAACTCCCTTGGGTTGACCTTCTTATTATAAGCCCTAGCAAGCTGTTGCTGGTATGCCGCCAGCTGAATTGCAGCTCTCTCCCTTCTTTCTTCTAGCAGATCCAGATCTCGAGCTAATAATACATCATTAGTTCCGTTCTCTACTTCCTAGGTTCTAATCCCTGGGATGCCGACTTCAAGAGGAATGACTGCTTCTGTGCCATAAGCCATGGCAAATGAGGATTTCCAAGTTGATCTTCTCGGCGTAGTTCGATATGCCCAGAGTACACTTGGTAGTTCATCTACCCACTTCCCCTTTGCTGCTTGCAATCTCTTCTTAATCCCATCCAAGATGACTTTGTTGGATGCTTCTGCTTGTCCATTGCTTTGAGGAAAGCTTGGGGTTGAAAAATAATTCTTGATTTTGAATTTTGCACAGAAGCTCTTGATTAGCTTACTGTTAAATTGTGTTCCATTATTGGCAACTATTGCTCTTGGAATCCCAAATCTGGTGATGATGTTTTTCCTTATAAAGTTCTTCACATCCACGTCTCGGATCTTGGCAAGGGGTTCAACTTCTATCCATTTTGTGAAGTAATCTGTTGCTACCAGCAAGTACTTCCTTTGCCCAGTTGCTTGGGGTAGTTTTCCAACAAGATCCATGCCTCATTGGATAAATGGCCAAGGACTGGATACTGGATTTAGGTCTGCTGTTGGTTGGTGTATCAATGGTGCAAACCTTTGGCACTTTTCACACTTCTTAACATAGGCTTGTGCATATTTCTGCATGTAGGGCCACCAATACCCTTGGGTAATGGCCCTATGAGCAAGTGTTCTGCCCCTAGCGTGGCTTTCACATACTTCTTCATGTATTTCATACAAAAAATCTTCCACTTGTGAAGGATGTACACACCTTAAAAGGGGTCTAGTGAAGGATCTTCTGTAGAGATGTCCCTCTGCTGTCAGATTAAATCTTGCCGACTTCAATCTGATCTTGTGTGCCTTTTTGTGATCATCTGGTAGTTTTCATTCTTTCAGGAAAGCTATTATTGCATCCATCCAGCTTGGTCCTATGTCCATACATATTACTTCACGCTCTGTGGTCAGTGGTTCGATGCTTGGGCCCGATAAGTAGTCAACCATTATCGTCCTTGTCTTTCCAGGTTTTATGGCACTAGCCAGGTTAGCCAGGACATCGGCGTGACTGTTATCATCTCGGCTAACCTGCTGTAGTCGGCAGTTTTGAAACAAGGCCACCAACCTACCTACTTCCTTTGCGTATGCCGACATACGTTCATCTCGGGTTGCAAATTCCCCTGTTGCTTGGTTGACAATAAGCTGAGAGTCACAGAAGACTATCACCTCATCTGCTTCTACTACTACTGCCAGTTTCAGTCCTGCAATCAGTGCTTCATACTCTACTTCATTGTTTGAGGCCTTGAACCCCAAACGAATGGATTGTTTTGGTATCTGTCCATCTGGAGATACCAGTACTACTCCTGCCCCTGCTCCTTGTCGGTTTGAACTTCCGTCAACAAACAGTCGAAAGGAGTCGCCGATGTAAATGCTGCAGGGTTTGAGTTTTTCTTTCTTTCTTTGTTCTAGTTCCTTCGGCTAGGCTCCTCTTTGCTCGCTTGTACATCGTACACCTCGACTCAACGGAGCCCGAGGTACGATGGCTCCTGGAGTGAACTCGACCACAAAGTCGGCCAAGACTTGGCCTTTGATTGCGGTTCTAGGTCTGTATTCCAGGTCATACTGGCCCAAGGCTACTGCTCACATGGTTATTCTGTCTGTCAGATCTCCCTGCTGTAACAGGGACTTCAAAGGATGTTCAGTCAGCACCACAATTTTGTGGGCTTGAAAGTAATGGTTCAGTTTCTTTGAAGCCATTACTAAGGCCAGCGTTAACTTCTCCAGAGGTAAATACCTGGTTTCTGCATCAGCCAGGGTTTTGCTTACATAGTAAACAACTCTTTGTTCTCCTTTTTCTTCTCGGATTATCATTGCGCTTACCGCATGTTCCGAAACTGCTAAGTACGAGAACAGCTCCTCTCTAGGTTCTGGATTTGAGAGAACTAGAGCCATGGTCAAATACTTCTTCAAGTCGGCCAGGGCGACTTCGCATTCTTCTGTCCATAAGAAGTTTGTGGCTTTCTTCACTAAGTTGAAGAAGGGTTTGCATTTGTCTGAACTTTTGCTTATGAACCTATTCAGGGCTGCAGCCCTTCCAGTCAACATCTGTAATTGCTTCGCCGATGTTGGGCTTTCCAGTTCTAGGATAGCCTTGATCTGATCTGGGCTGGTCTCAATGCCTCTTCTGGTCACTAAGTATCCCAAGAACTTACTAGATCCCACTCCAAATGCGCACTTTGATGCATTGAGTCGGAGCCGATATATTTTAAGGATATCAAAGACTGCTTTTAGGTCAGCCAGATGGCCCTCCGGTTCTTTGGTCTTCACGCCATGTCATCAATGTAGACTTCCACTGTTCTGCCAATTAGATGTTTGAACATCTTGGTTACCAATCTCTGGTAAGTTGTTCCGGCGTTTTTCAACCTAAAAGGCATCACTCTGTAGCAATACAACCCTTTTGGAGTGATAAACGCAATCTTCTTCTCATCTGGTGGGTACATAGCTATCTGATGGTACCCTCTGTAGGCATCTAGGAAGTTCATCCTTTCATGTCCTGAAGTGGCATCCACCAATTGGTCAATCTTGGGTAAAGGAAAACCATCTTTGGGACAAGCTTTGTTTAGGTTGGTAAAGTCTACGCAGACCCTCCATTTACCGTTCTTTTTCTGCACCACCACTATGTTCAATAGCCATGTCGGGTAATTTACCTATCGAATGGCTCTAGCTTCCAAAAGTCAGTCTACTTCCTCTACCACTGCCTCGATGTCACGACCCCATTCCGCCCCTAGTAAAATGGTGCCGTGATGGCCAGTAATCCGAAATTACCAAAGGCCAACTTACAAAGATTCACACACAATCAGAGCATATATATGGGGCTTATATGTGCGGAAGCAATAAATTTCGATCTAATTAGTCCATAAGAGCTATGCATAGATTAAATAAAATGACATACATCTTAACATGGTCTATAACTTGAATACAGATAAAAATAAAGTACATATTATATCTTGATCAAAAGGCTTCTCAAGCCGACATATACAAAAGATATGCAATACAAAGCTAAGAAGCATAATCTTCAAGATGCTACAAATAGGAATTCAAAACATCTTGCAAATAACCATCTAGACGTCACCACCTTCTTGCTCGTCTCCTACATATATATATAAGGAGAGGGTGAGCTTGGATACTCAGTTAATGATATTAGAAATAAAGGTTTGCATGACTGATAATCAAGATCTTTATCAAACAATACATGGCATATCTTGTACAAAATCAAAGGATGAACCAAGTCCATCTGTCAAATCTATCAAAGCTTCAAGGGATGCTTACTAGCATCAATATAGTACAAGGGATGACATTCCAGACAAACAAACCCACGTGAAAAACCGACAGTGGCAAAATAATGGTGCAGTCGCATTATAGTCCCCTGGCACTAAGGACTTTCAAAACAAGGGTGCAGTTGCATTATAGTCCCCTAACACTAAGGACCTTCAAGACAAGGGTGCAGTTGCATTATAATCTCCTGACACTAAAGACTTTCAAGACAAGGGTGCAGTTACATTATAGTCCCCTAACACTAAGGACTTTCCCAGAATGTCATTAAAACAAATATAATACTAGATACAAAACTAGGGACAATCATTCATGCTTGATCAAATACTTTTCCAAAACGAATCAAGGCTTTAT